TATAAAATCTGAAATTTTGTTCAAAAAGCTAAATTCAGCTCCACTTGCCCAACTTCACTATATTCCCAGCCAGTTTAAATTATGAATTTATAATTATGTCCTGTTTTTGTTAATAAACCCTCACGCAAAAATGTCTGTGGTCACTGATCTGTGCAATTGTAATAATTTATTATAACTTATGTAAACCATTATAATAATTTTTTTAGGAAATAAAGCAGATGCAGCTAGCTACAAATAGGGTAAAATCTATAACCATGTAAAACTTGTGGTCTGAGACAAAAGCAGAGCAAACGGTAGTGGTGGCTATAAATTGGTTGTGGTGTTCCAAAACCAAAGTTTGGGTAAAACAAAAGAGGGCCCACCAAGTGAAGTATATATAAGAGAAGGGAGCGGTGAACCAGGCGGAATTGGCCCAGTATTACGAGCGGCTCTCTATTTATAGGTTGAGTAACCCCTCCCACAATTACAGGCTGCACCTTTCTATTTGTCATTTTTCTTTGAGATTATCTATTTGAAGAATGCCAACATTTATTCCTAAACGATTAATGTAAATGGCTCATGAACGTAGAAACTTATACAATTAGAAGAGTCAGAGCTACAGGGTGTGACATTGATTAAAGGGAAATGTTTATGAAAAATTGTGTTTTCTGAGTTTTCTAAAGACAGCAGTATGCCTGTCTGTACTTGTAAAATATACCCATCTCTACATTGCTACATTCTATTCAATCCAGAACATAGTATCAGGTATATATATTGCATTTTGGGTGTAACACAGTTGTATTGTTTTAGTTGACTGGTAATTACTACCTCTATGTTAAAGTCTAATATATTTTCAACAGAATGGCAACATGATAAAGGCTTTGCAAAGTATCATACTTAATATAGATAATAGTGGCTATCAAAGTTTTTTTTTCAACTACAACACATCAGATAAGCATGCCTCCCAAATAAGGAAGGGCAGGACTACAGGCAACTTGTGTTACTGGCAATGGCCAAAATGGGTATACACACCTGAGAAGGAGCATGTCAGCCTCACATGAAAACATGCCATGCTGATTAAACCCATTCAATGCAGACCATGCAGATAAAATTGCTGAGGTGCTCATGGTGGTAGAGTAAGTCCTGGCCAGGGAACAAAATGGAACAGTGGGACAGGGGTCCGAAATTGGGACAGTCCTGTCTAAATTGGGACAGATAGGGGATATGGATAAGTAGCAATTCATCAGTGAAGCTTTAATGGATAGATAAAGACATTTGCATAAACAAATTATATTTGAGTCCAGGTGCCATTTTATCTTTACAC